GTGATGGGAGTATCCACACTTTACCCTACCACACGTGACGTGACCTGCCGATTGACTGTGGTGTACCTATCTTTACTGCTGGGTTAACAGAGGCAGAGGAATTGAAGAAACTTGCCAATTTTTTCAACCGCCCCACCCGGAGAACAGGACTGGACACCTCTGTGTTACAAGTCTAGTGTGCGAACTACCACACCACGGCAGCATCCATACCATAATTGATCATAAAATAATAAATTGGAGTCATAAAAAAAACTGACAATGTACCTGTTATTGGTCAAACATACCAGTGCTGAAAATGATCTGCAAATTACTCAATTACGATTGCACACATCAACATCGCCTCCTACTGTGATAACTTGGCAAGACCTTGTTAAAATATAGCCTTGAGGCTCAAGCACAGTGAAGCAAAATCACTGCTGTATGAAAGTCTCCCCACATTGTGGCATAGACATTGTATGATCATACTTCACCACGCTGGTTTGAGCAGCTTTGTAAAGTCGAGAGAGGGCCGAAACTGACTCATATCACCCAGTTCATGGGGTTCATAGCTCACTGCACTAATAACTGTGCCACCATTTTTTTAACAAAATAAATGTAGGATTTTAAATAAAATGCACACAACTATTTAAAAAAACATATTTTGGCCACAACCTAAATACCCATGCGTCTAAAATGTAACTTCTATATAAATAGAAAAGTTAAATAAACAGTACATACGTTAAATAAAAAACACTATTAGGAGGCTGCTGAAGTATGCAAATTTTAATAAAGAAAATTACGAAAGTTTACATTTGGCTCTAGGAATTCAACTGCTCCGCTTTTATGACGTTGTTTCTGATTGATGACGATTGGCCATGATGAATAGATGACATATACGCTTGATCACAGTTATTTATGATAGACTGTATATGCAAGAACTCATACACACACCACTGGAATCAGCTTTGGCACTGAACTCTTTCCAAGAATGCACATGTCGCAATGCATTATGATGACAAATGCATTTATTAAAAAATGTGCAACGAAGAATTGTAAAATGGGGTAAAGCGGTGAACAAATTGCGTGGACAATGTTCCATCTCTGCCGCTATTAAAATAAAGGCGCTGGTAGGTATGCATGGATCGTCGCCCAAAACATCACACCACACGGTCATTAAATACACAGCGCTACGCTGGCTGTGAAAGATATCTAGGAGATATACAGGGCTTGCACTTAGTTTTGCACGTGTTTAGACTGTAGCTGAACAAAGTCATCTGGAGATGCCACGTTTTAATAATGCTCCTACCGAAAGCAGGGCTTCTAAAACTCCATGTTTCATGGCACAGGGCTTAATTTCAGCTCCGTCAGTCTGGTTAGCAACCTGGAGAATATTTCCGCACCTCCCACATCACATCCAGTATACCTGTTGTTATGGCTGTGGCTACTAGTCACATATTTACTTCAGTATACCAGAAAACTGGAAAACATTTCCCTACCCGGAAACCACATCCAGTCTACATCTCGCGATGGCTACTCGTCATGTGTTACCTACTCCAAGTTACCAGCGACCTGGAAAATATTCAGTGAGATTCTACGTCCTGATCATCACCCACAGTTTAAAGATTGTCACTATGTTGCGCGCTTTCAGATGCCCTTCTGTGGTCGTCTGGAACGTTCTTCCTTCCAATATTAGGAAGCCACTGGAGCTGTGCACTTTTAAATAATCTACATTGGAAACTAATTTATTTAGAACTGCTTTTTGTTTAGTTTGGCGTCCTTCCCCCGCACCTCCGATTAGCGTGGTTGGCTACGCACGGTGCAAATTCAACATACACACACCATTAAGTGTATTTTCACATGTACCAATCTTTTATATTCTAATAAAAATGTGTGTTGCTCACACAGGGTTGCTGAGCACAGAAGAGTTTACCAATGCGGGCCATGAGCACTGGAGTCGAAGAAACAGCACTCGAGTGCAGTATTTCTCAACGCCAGTCCTTGTGACCTCCCCACGGCACAACTTTCCATTACCAATCATCAGGTGCATGCAGTGTGCAGTGGCTTAATTTTCCCACATATAGAAAATATGCATCATTTAATGTACATGCCTCTATCAATCCACTGGTGGATGAAGGCCTCCCCATGCCCCGTCAGAGTTGGGGAATTCGTTTAACCATACTTCACCTCGCTGGTCAATATGGGTTGATGAAAGGGAGTGTCCATGACTGGTTCAGATTAGTCTCGTTGCTACTTTTAGCCTTGCGTTGGGAATCGAACTCAGATTGGCAGACAACAGTGTAGTGCACGAAATACAAAATCTTTGTAATCATTGACTGGAGTTGAGCAACCCTGCTCGAGACCCTGCACTGCTGTTGTATTTGCAAAGGGCCTCCATGACATACCTATGACAGCATACTCTATGTAAGAAAAAATATTTGCCAGTAATCCGTTATGCCACATGTTTGTTGTATTTGCTCAAATGCCATGTACACGGCAACTACCATAACACGTTAATAGTGTGAATAATCGTTGCTAAAATAAACAGAAAAAGGTTCAAATGAATGTTTAAACAAACTGACTCTGTAGGCAATAATAGACTCCAATGTCTCTTAGCTCAACATCAAAGGGATAATAACACTACTCTACTAGTTTGCCTGCGTTTGCTGGATTTCATCCAAACGCAAGTTTTGCCAAACCATGCAGCCTATGAAGGGGCCTGAAATTACACCACAACCACATCGCTGAATGTGTCCAATCTCATCAGATTTTGGAAGCATGGTTGATTCAGTTAAGGCTGAGGTTTGTTTTTTTCGTATTTGTTGCTGCAACTTTCTGTGAACGAATCGGGTGTCATACCGCAAGTGTTTGTGGCGATGCAGAAACATATTGAGTTAACCCTTCAATTGTTAGCCAGAGCGACAATTCTCTTGTTTCTACTTTATGACCAAATCAACCGGGAATGCGTTCAAACTTGTCAGATCTCTGAAGCTAAGCAGGGTTGAGCTATAATAAGGTTGAGCTATGAACCCGACTATCGATTCCCATGCACGGCTAACATCAGTGGAGAGTTTTCATCTGATATGGTCCATGGAGACCCACTCCAGCAGCCCGTAGTGCATCGAGTGTTCGATATATCAATGTGTTTCTTTAGACGTCCCATCCGTTCGTTTATTAATATGGACTTTGCCTCAGCCTTGCCTGTGGTGTCACACTCTCGGTCACTAGGGGGCGTTGTATACAGCTAGGAAGGCTTTACAAGTGTGGTACGTATAGTAGTTCAACACATTCCAGCATTGTTTTTCGACAGGACAAATATTATTGGCGATTTTGGCCGGCTGATGTAAATTACAATGTCGTTCTGGACGGGAAAAAATGCTGAAATTTAGCAAACGCGTTGTAGTCAACACCACGCGTGTAACTCTAAAACTCCAGAACACTTAAATTTCTGATTTGAGCTCTTAACCTCGTGACTGAGAAAATTACTTTAATTATTTTGCAGGGTCAGCCTAAGGTTCTATATTGTTTTACCGTTCATGCTAAACATTTTAGCAAAAACAATCCTCATCAGTAAACTAAGTCATTTGCCTTTCTCTGCAGCATGATGCTAAAACTGATAGAAAACAGTGTTATGCTTAAATCTTGACTTAAAGCTTTCGTGACTGCAGGAATTCATATTCTTGGGTCTTTCGGTAAAGTCACGTAGATAGGTTCAAAGAAAATAAGAAAAAATAACAATCGTCATCATTGCTTGTGTTGCGATCGAAACGTCGTAGTTTTTTTGTAATTTTTTGTTATAGTGTTATGCTTAATTATTAATTTAGTTTAGGTTAAACCGTGAGGGTATAATGTAATATTTTAACTAAAACCCTTCACCACCCAATGAGCCAATCAAATCAAGTTATCACGTGGACATATATTCCAGTTGATGTGGTTTTTCAGCAAACCGGAGCGTTGTAAGTCAAGCGACATGATGACAGACTGGACACATGCACTTGTCCCCATTCATGTGGCCTCGTCTTTCTCCACTCGTTCCTGTCCTGGGTCACCACTCCACAGTCGTTCAAAAAATCCACATACACAATCTCACCGAAAAGGGAGTAATTGACTCGTGATTGAAATCAGCTGAAGCCCTCTACTGGTTACTAGTATTGGGATATGCAGGGTCCTTGTAGTGGAATCTATCCATGTTTCATAAATGACGAATATTATTGTTGTATTATGTTGTACTTTCACGATGGAATATTTATGCCAGTGTAATATTGTTTATAACTGTGATGATGGAACTATCTAGACGCGCGGCGATGCTTGGTTGAAAAGTAAAACTCACGAGAACTGGATAAACCTTCATCTCGACAGTCCGGGACACTCACAGTTCCTGCAAATAGTTTGTTCGGGGCTTTGTTTATCAAACCATTTCATTACCATGTGATGCTTAATATTATTTTTTATCTTTTGTCATGAAAACTACAGTACTTTCTTAATATTCAAAGGCAGGGCTCTGTTACCATGACACTCCTCTACAATTAGTAAAAAGCACAGCAGGTTGGAGGGAGGTCATGACTTCATGTCCAAGATTGTGTCAGAAAGGGAGGCTATAAAATCGATCACGGAAAACAATGCAGTCATACAACACCACGAGCACAGGTCAGCCTGTACCCCGGAATGTGAGCAGCCCATGTTCTCAGTTTCACAATGAAGCATCATCCATATTGTCTATTTTCGACCTTTCTCTTGCATGGATTCACGACACACCATCACACTGTAACTGTGTGTGTCGTGATGTTTGCAGTTATCCCGTAAACCACAGGAATGTTGTGGCATGTTCTCATTCAGCAGCGCCGTGTGTTATATGCATCGGACTTCACTTTGCTTTACGTAACATCAGATTCAGTTTCAGATGTCAAGGGATTCTAAAGACTGCATTCATGCCAAAATCACGACGCTAACATGGCCACTCCCACATGTTTGAAAAAAAAACCCATCAGGCTTACATATAAAGTGGCTTCCTGTGACGTGTTGGGTCAGGGCAGCCTTTGTTGGGAGCTTGTTAAACAATAGACGCTCTGTCATTAGCCGCAAACAATGTAAAATGTGAGTTGCGCCGCCAGCTTGCCTTGTGCTCAGCTTAGCCACGTGCCGCATGTCTGCGAGGTTTATGTTGGGACTGCGATGGGTCGTGTCGGATTAACCCTGCGTCTGCCGGTCTGTGTGTGTCCTTGCAGGCCCGTGCCACTGCTCTTGTGTCTGCTGGCCGCGTGGGCCTGCGGCTCGCCGGTCGAGCTCTCGGCCCCTCAGGGCGAGTTCTGCTCGCCGGGGTTTCCTGGGCCCTATCCTGGGAATGAGACGCGCGTCTGGCAGGTGCGAGTGTCTCCAAGCCATGCCATCCTCTTCAACTTCACCCACGTCCACCTGCCCCCCCTGCGCCTGTGCAGGTTCATTCACATCAAGGTAAGTCAAAGTAGCTTCCAAGATGATCTACGTGTTCTTTTGTTCCATGCATTATTTATTAATAAATTGTTCTTGGTGTCGGCCTGAAACTTCCCACTGCTATGCAAAGGTCTCCCATATTTTCTTAATCCATTTCGTTGTTTTCTTCTTTTTCTAATCTCTGATTTCAAAAGCCAGGCAGATTTGGCTAAATCGCTTTGGACAGAGGTCGGCCACCTGCGACTACGGTGCCGCATGTGGCTCTTTAAACATTGAGTTTTGTTTACCGAATTCGAAAAATGGCTCTTGTTAATTTGGTTGCTGACCCCTGGTCTAGGAGAAGCAACTCTAATTTAAAATTCATGGTGACCCAATCTGAATTGGGTCACCATGCATGGTTGAGAAGACCCAACACCCCCCCCCCCCAAACCATGGAAGGAATGAAAAAATAAATTAGCTTAGCCAATTTAATAAGGGTTGGTTAAGATGTTTTGTTTTCCTACAGACTAAGACATATAAACGATGGCTCCAAGTGGCAATGCATATATTTCCTAAAAAAACATTGTTCTTAAAACCAATCCTGACATTGAGCATTCCGCAGTAATGTATACAGTAAATTACCCAAATATATATTTAATATAATATTTAAAATGTAGCAATATAGATGTAACATGGAATTGAACAGAAATGTACAATAAAATACATCCAAACATAAATATAAAACATAACATACTTACAAAATAATAATAGTTAAGCATTATTATTTTCAGTGTTCTCCTTGGATTGGCCTCCACTCAGCAAACGCATCATCTTAGTCCCTCCATGATGATTTTCTTTCTCCAAAACCCCAAACCACCCTTGGATGCAGGTGCATGCAGGAGGCCAGCTGGTGAAGACTCTATGCGGAGGCGAGCTGAGGGCAGAGCGTGGCCAACGTGCCGCTGGTGTCATCCGCGTGCTCGGTCACGAGGCCATGGTCACCTTCACCGCGTCTGGTGGCAACCGCGGTCGATTCACAGGCTTCTGCGTTCACTATAGGACTACAGGTGCCGGCAGGCACATGCCGTTCAAGACAATGACACCCTGGATGGAACAAATATCCATCATTATACGCCCAAGCATTAAAGGCTATAATTGTAATGTTTGTAATATTCTATTGCGGTGATTGAATGATGAGTTACATGATTGCTGCAGGTCTACCATGTGGCCAACCCCTGCCCATCGCCAATGGGAGGATGGAGATGGATCAATACTCCAGCGTCCGCTACACATGCAATGAGCCCTACTACAGCATGGCCAGTGGGAATGGTATGTTCCATTTCACATACACACGTGTATTTACGTATTATAATAACAAAATAACACTCTACGGACCATGATCAATCCACTGCTGGATGAAGCCTCGCTACACCGTGTTGGTCAAGGGGGCTATTTGACCATATTTCACCACACTGGTTAGCACGTGTTGGTGAAGTAGGGGTTCAGGACTGGTTCAGATGCATTCTCCGTTGATGTTGGCCATGGCCGGGAATCAATCCCAGGTCTGTATGTATGTACTGTATGTTGGATTTATTTCGCACCGTACGTAGCCAACCATACTAATCAGAGGTGCGGGGCAAGGACAACAAACTAAACACGAAAGCAGTTTTAAAGAAAATGTCTCTGGATTCATAACGAAGTGCACTAATAACTACACCATCACTCCACACAAAGTCACGAAAACCTCTTGACAATTTTTATGCACCATTAAGAAAGTATCTTGTCGTGATTGGGTACAGCCTCTTTGAACTGCTGGTAGTCTATTTTCCTGGAATTATTCCCGCGTATGTGGGGTATGCCCTCCTGATCCTCTTTCTTCACTCGTTCCTTTTCTGGGCCACCTCTACGTCCACTCCACAGTTCTTCATATCCTGACAGGTTGTTGCTCACTGCTAATTAAGAGTTCAGTATGTCTTTAAGTTTCATATAACCCATATTCAGCAGAATTGTAAAAAGGCAATAAATTGTTACTGTTTGTGTTTAATGTTTTGTTCTATGCAATACACTATGAAGGGCAATTAATCTGCAATGAGACTGGACAATGGGTGGATGAGATGGGAAGTCCCAACCTGCCAGGCTGCAAGCCAGGTGAGAAAAAGTGGGAGGCCCAATTCTCACACCGTACAATTCTCGTTGTGCCATGAAACGGTGTGATTTTGTGACCGACTGACCCAACCTCTGCGGGTGGCAGTGTGTGGCCTGGTTCGGCATGCACGCAGCAAACGCATCATCGGAGGACGCTTCTCGCACCGCGGTGACTTCCCATGGCTGGCAATGCTGCTTCTAGACAACCACTTCATGGGCGCGGGCGCCCTGCTGGGTGACAGCTGGATTCTTACGGCAGCCGAGATCTTCACGCAGGACTACGGCCAGGTTGACGTCTACCTCGGGCTGGTAGACCGCCGCGGGGTCCTCGCCAACGACAGCGCGGTGATGAAGGTGCACGTGGAGAGCGTCGTCCTCCACCCGAATTTCAGCAGGGACGAGGAGGATGCTCACGACCACGACGTAGCCCTGCTGCGTCTCACCGAGCCTGTGCCGCTGAGGAAGGACATCAGCCCCATCTGCCTGCCCGGTCGTGACGAGGGTGGCGGGGTCAGCGATCAGCCACCGGGGCCCGGGCACGTGGGCTACGTGGCCGGATGGGGCCGCATCACCACCACGAAGCTGCACGGCGCCACGCCGCGCTGGCAGCGCTACGTGGCGTTGCCCGTGGTTGCCCAGGACAAGTGTCGCCGCACGTACGCGGGCATGGAGTTTGCGGGCAGGACGCTGACGTACACCGATAACATGTTCTGCGCCGGTGTTCCGGGAGGGGGGCGTGACGCCTGCAAGGGCGATAGTGGGGGGCCCTTCGCCTACAGGGAGCCGCGCTCGCAGCGCTGGGTGGCGGCTGGCATCACGTCCTGGGGTGTTGGTTGCGGCCAGAAAGGCCACTACGGTGTCTACACCAATGTGTCCAACTACGTGGCGTGGATTGAGGGAGAGATGCAGCAAGGAGGGAAGGGATAACTCCTCGTTTGGACCGATGAGTTCTTTTTTTTACTTTACATTAGCTATGATATAAAGTAGAACTTTTGCGTGACTTACTGTAGGCATATTTAAAGGAAGCTATATTTTGACGAATATAAATAAGTGTACTATGACCTGTGGAGAATAATTTATATCTCCTCCAACGCGCTTGTGAATCTGTGAAGTGTGACCATTGCAATAGGCCAGTGGTGGGGAACATTTTCCTTGCTCAGGGCAAATTGGACTTTCAAATACCTTTGACGGGGCATGCATTAACAAACACCTCAGTCACTTCTGTTACTGCAGGGCCAGAAGTGAATACGCATTACATTATAAAGTGTTAACAAGGATAAAATGTTCCCCTCTAAGACAAGATTCGTGTGGCTCAAACGCTTGCAGTGCAGGACACGTGTTGTTTGTGGGCAATTATGAAGTTGCACGAAATGACGTCTTGGGCCGACTCGGGGCCATGGGTTATAGGTTCCCTACCCTGCACGAGGCCAACAATATATAATTATCAAAGTGTGGAGTGACATTTACATTTTTTCTGTCGTGAAAAGCGTTGCACTAAAAGAATACAGAAATGTGTACTACAAAATACAGCGTGGGGTGTTTGCTGAAGCGGTTTTGACTTGGTGTGAATTGAACGCGCGATCCTGCTATGGTAACCAATGCCCTTTACATGTCACAGCAGGTGTCAGCTTGATGAGGCATTTAAAAATGTAAATTTAACGACTAAGGGTGTTGATTTCATTCCACTGTGCCGTGTGTTGGTACCCAAATGTACGTGAACCACACTTTGTGCATTATAAACTGAATTGTACACCATCTTAACAGTGGGTAAAACTAACAAGCATTGCGAATCAGCTCAGCAGTGAAGAGTCCCCGACTCCAAATCCAGCCGATGTGGGCATTGGATGGTTCATCCGAAGCAAATATGGCACGTGTTATTAAGCTACTCATCAGTGGATAGAGCATCGCTCGTCATTGATCAGTTTATGGGCCATGCATTATACATCCATTCATGAATGCACATAAACATTCACCAATGGATAGGTCACGGCTTATACATCCAGCAGTGGACAGCATGACTGTCCAATCCAGCAGTGGATGAAGCCCGACACCTCCACCCAGCAGAGGACAGATCCTAACTACTCCATTCAACAGTGGATTTCGAGCATTTAGTAGTTGATAGAGCATGCCTCATACAGCTTGATTGCTCCACAGCATTGACTAGTACCTGACTCCACCCAGCAGTGGATAGAGCTTGCCTAATTTAATATGGCCGCACCCTCCAGCTGTGGATGAAGCCTCACTGCTCAACTCCCAAGTTGATAGAGCCCCACTGCTCCATGCAGCAGCGGATCGAGCACGCGGCTGCAGACGTCGCATCGCAAGACCGCTCCGCCCACGTTGCCGCAATGCACGTGGGAAGTAAGCCCCGCCCCCCCCCCTGCGTGGCAGCTTCTGCGCATGCGTGCTCGGTCCCGCCGTGCGGCCTTGTGAGCAGGAGGTACGGGCGAGACGCGTCGAGTGTGGTGGTTACGCGGGAACCGGCGCAATCCACAAACATCCGCGCCTACATCGCCTCGCGCCGTCCATGATCGACACGGGAAGGTAATTGAAGCTCTGCGGAAACATTACGAGCGACGATGCAAGCGATTGTCCTACGATGCATTTACACGAGAGTCGAGTGCCGGCCCAACCGCGCCATCGCCTCCCGTCATTCATTAGGCAACACGCGCCGAGCGCTGTCTTCGTGTTATGCGACATGAGCAGTTACGTTTCTAAATGTATGAAAATGTTACCGTGTAAAGTTGCGGTAACCTTTTTAGTTACGGTTTTTCGATTTTTAAATCCATGCACGTTTAGAGCTCTTGTGTAAGTGGTTTACGGGCCTAGCTGTATCAACTAGCTGAGCCGCGCGAGGGTCACGTGGTCGTGGAGCCCACGGTTATTGAAGCTGATGGAGGCCCCATAGTAACTAGGCACACGGGTGGGTTTTAAGAAACTGTTGTTCAGGTAAATTCACATCGTGATTCAACATTAAACACACTCATACACTCCGCATATTGTACAACAACCCTTTTGTCAAGCCACAGCTAGTCGTATGTACTGTATGTAGAACTTTTCACCGTTGGTGGTCGTGATGTCCTGTATTGAATTGTCAGCTAGAGCAGATTGCCTTTTTGAGTTTATCAACCAGCAGATTCAAAATGTGAAGTTGTTAATCTTCTTTCACAATGTGTGGGTCTAATTTATGTTTTAAACCTGTGGTCAAATGTATAGCTCGCATCGTAACTTTAGCTTTCATTGTACCGATTTACATGACCTCATCAACATTATTCCCCTTCGCTAAGTTGCGTTGAGCAACTGGGAATTGCACTTGTGTAACAGTTATTTTAAATTACTACAGCGCAAGTAATTTGGGTCAATTATGCGATCAAAGTGTTTTACAGCATAGTGATGCTCGGACCTTTAAATGTCTACAAGTGTATAAAATTGGTCAAATATATAAGTTGCACATGAATGAAACAAACTACCAATATATTTTCAAACTACTCGTGAGAATGTGTTGAGCGTCGCCATTCGAGACATGCAGATCACCTGAAAATGTTTTCTTCATCTAGGCATAGGTGATGCACATCCGATCAGCACGGTTGGCTACGTACGGTGTGAAAGAAGTTCAACATATATACAATGCTTATGCTGGAGTTGGACATAACTTTGTGTGGGTCATGTGTCCACAGTGCTGTAATTGCGTTGGTGTTGCCGTGACAAGTGGTCATCCAAGATGTTTCTCTACAATCTGACCCTGCAGAGAGCAAGCGGCATCACACACGCCATTCATGGGAACTTCTCTGGTACGAGACACTGAAAGTGCAGCTCCACAACCTTGGTGTAGTATCTGCTCCACATTGCATTGTGAAAGCAATGTTCATTTGGAATTGTTATATTAAAACATCAGCATGCTTGCATGAGCGAATGTATTTTGAGCTGTGCATTTGGATCAATCAACATATATTGAAATGTACATATGGTGTAATTTTAGTTGCATCTCAAGGCGCTTTGCAAATAATTAAGTTAATGGGGGGTGGGTAGGGTACGTTAGAGAGAGGAGAGACTAACACTGGTATCACCCAGGGCGAAGCAACCAGGGCTCAGCATCAACAATGAGCCTCGGTGACAGCCAGGGCAGCACCGTTGAGTTCCAATGCATCCTCTGGAGGCAATGGATATGTGATCCTTATGGTGGTACCCCGGAATACCAAATAATACAAAATGGCCGAGGCAATTAAATATTTTATTTCTGGGACACTTTTTTCCAGGGGTGTACTTAACTCCGCGACTGGGGTGCCAATCAATCCGACATCAGTGCTACGCCGCGATGTCGAAGCGCCAAACAGCATAAAAAATCCGTTATTGAAAAATTCTACTTTGAATAGTGCATCATGTACAGTTCGTCGAGAGGAGTCGATTTCCGCATCGTCGACCATCAACAGACTAAAAATGACTGCATCACGGACATTATGTGAGAGCCGGGGTACCATATTCTTGGTTCTTTCGGTAAAGTCGCGTAGAGGGGAAATAATGAAGTAATAAAAATAAAAACAATTTCCTCTTATTTTTATTATTATTTCCCTTCTACGTGACTTTACCGAAAGAACCAAGAATATGAATGCCAGCAGTCACGAAAGCTTTAAATAAAAAATTTTGCTGGAGTACCGCCATAAGGTTCATATGTTAACCCCTTGGTGTAACATCAGTTTTAAACACACTGGTGTTAGCATACATTTGAAGAATACATTATGAAAATCTATTATTTGTCTTCAGGGACCAAGCAGCAGGAGATTGTCATCTCCCATGGCAAGATTTTGGAGTTGTTGCGGCCTGACCCCAACACGGGGAAGGTGCACACCCTGCTCACGGTGGAGATCTTTGGGGTCATCCGCTCCCTAATGGCATTCAGGCTTACTGGTGGCACCAAAGGTACGTGTTATTACGTGTGCGATTTAGTGTTATGTAGCCATAAGCAACCTTTTAATTATTGGAAGTTACTTGCATAGCTGGAGAATACATCTTTTATGCTGAAAATGATGCACAAATATTCATGCCTTTTCACTGATTGGCTCAGCCATGAAGTGTATTATTCTTATCTGATTCAGCGTAAAAAAGTTGTTGCGGTTTGCCAAACTGAAGTGTCTGGCACGGTAAAAGTGACGGCTGTATTGTGTTGTGGCAGACTACGTCGTGGTGGGGACCGATTCGGGCAGGATCGTCATTCTGGAGTACCAGCCATCAAAGAATGCCTTCGATAAGGTGCACCAGGAGACCTTTGGCAAGAGTGGTTGCCGACGCATTGTGCCAGGCCAATTCCTTGCCGTCGATCCCAAGGGCAGGGCCGTCATGATTGGTGAGTGAAGGAACTAATGGGAATAAAGATGGTCACATACTCAATTAGTTTGGCATGCTTCGTCTTGCCTAATAGGTAATTTCAACACTTTACAATTTCAGGTTGAAAGCACTTCTACATTAGTGTTGTCTCTATGGCTGTAACAAGAGGGTGTCATAACGCTCGTTAAGATCGAATAGGAACGAAACTTTAAAAAACATTAAGATACAACTTTGCAACTGAGAATGATGATTTGTATACATTCATGCCTTTTCTCTGAACAGGCTATGCCTGCTGAAGAGTGAATTGCTTCTGACTCAGTTCATTTATATTAGGATAAACAACATCATAAATAACATAGGCTTTTGACGATAGACTGGTTGGGGGGGGGGACCCAATGATGTACTCATCTGCTGAGACAACTACATTGGCACTATCCACCTGTTTGGTTGCAACAGGAGGGGCAGCACTATAACTCGCAAACGTGATCCAATGTGAATACATTTTATTTTAAAGTTGTGTTGTTATCAGGGACTATTTAAAACTTGAGAGACAAATGACCAGTCAAAAAATGGCTTTTTAAAAATACGCAAGCGCATTTTTCCCATTCTAGCTACCCATCGGCTTCCAAACTGCTAGTTCATTACTTTCAAAGACAAATGCATGTAAAAAATGGTACTTTATGCGTATTCATGATTTTTTTTCTTCTTGTCGAGGGATCTAAATAATGTGCCTTGTGTGTGCCAGGCGCTATTGAGAAACAGAAGCTGGTGTATATCCTGAATCGTGATGCTGCTGCCAGACTGACCATCTCGTCTCCTCTGGAGGCTCACAAGGCCAACACACTGGTGTACCACGTCGTGGGCGTTGATGTGGGCTTTGAAAACCCTATGTTTGCCTGTCTGGAGATGGATTATGAAGTAGGTGCTCATGCACCGCAGAATATGAATTTTACACATGCAACGAAATGTATTTGCCTCATATGGACCATTAAGATTGATATATTGTCATTTTACTGCTATTTGTGGACAGTAATGCAGTGAGCATTGCAATTGAAGGTCTCAGCAGTTCGGGTACGATTGAGTCTGTCTTAATACATTTTTAGGAGGCAGATGTCGATCCCTCTGGAGAGGCCGCTGCCAACACCCAGCAGACTTTAACCTTCTACGAGCTGGATCTGGGTCTGAACCATGTGGTGCGGAAGTACAG